TCACCAAGTTGTTTATACACAATCCTTTCCAATACTTTGAATATAGTAGACTTGATCGAGTGGAATTATTTACTTTTGGTATAGGTACAATATTTGTTTTTTTCCAAAGTGATGGAAACTTAGCTGATATAAGACAACTCTTGATAATATGTGTAATATAACCAGTAAGAATGGATATAATTAATAAAATCATTTTGAGACATGTCATCTGTGCCAATAGCGTTTGATTTGATCTGCAACAATATCTTTTAGACATATTCTTCTGTTACTGTTGTAAATTGAATTTTATTAGTAATATTTGCAGAAAATTGATACAGTACAGATATTAGTAATAAAATCATTGGAATTTTTAAAATTATTGGAATTTATAGCAGGTACTACATATTAACAAAGTAATTATTAAAGGACTGCTAATATCACCCGGGCAAACATATGGAACTGTTTATATTTAAATATCGCAAAGTACACCATAATCCCTTTGCATCAACAACAAACTTATGTTGAAGATAAGACCTTTTTTAATTTCTCACCGCCATTGTGACAAACTTTTTAAAATCTTTATATTCCATCCAGGCTTGTTCTGCTCTATTTTTTTTTTAATTTTGAAAGCCTTATTTCGTAATTTCATAAATTTAAGGTTGTTAGTAAGCCAAGGGTCCGGTAATTTTGTAAATCGAGATGTCTTAACTGAAGCATGAGCATCAAAGACTAATTTTAAATCATTCAAAAATATACTTTTTCATCCACATCCTTTAAGTTAATACGTCATTCCAATTTATATTCATCAAGTCTTGCATAAAATTATTGTAATTAAAACTGGAGTAATTGCTATATGTATGAAAAGTTAAGTTCTTTGTCATGTGATCAAGAACTCACTGCTATCTCAGATTTCGGTTGGAAAACACGCTATCTCAAATTTGGGTTGGAAAACATGCTATCTCAAATTAAGCTTGGAAAACATGCTAGCTCAGATCTTTAAGTAAAAACATGATATCTCAGTTTGACTAGAAATTTAAGTTGGCACATTGAATGATTGAAACCGTGCATTTATAATAAACTTCTATACTATATTTTTCAGAAAGTAAGGAATATTTATGTTTATTTTATTTTTTTATTTAACATTTTTCAATTCATTTTGTTAAGTTACTGTTAATTATTAATTAAAAAAATAAAATAATATGCAGTATGCTGCAACACGTGCATAACTCGACGTTTTTTGCAATAACAAATTATAAAAAAATAGTGTATACCTTAATACAGGTTCGGAAAGTACCGATGGTCCATCTGCCGTTACGTGAGAGCGATAAAGTAAGACATAGAAATCCATGCGATAGAGAAGGATGGCTATAATGAAGGCGTATAAGATCCACTTCTTATTTGTAGAAGGGCGAAATGGGCGGTGACTATTAGACGCCTTCATTATAGCCATCTTTCTCTATCGCACGGATTTCTATGACTTACTTTATCGCTCTCACGTAACGGCAGATGGACCATCGGTACTTTCCGACCCTGTATATAAAAATATTTGTTATTACTAAAAATTATTTGTTTTTTTCATACAAGTTTGCTTTGATTTCAAAATTAATAGCGTACTCTTATCTGATTTATAGTCGCTACTCTTGATACACTTCAATTTATTCTGAAAATAATTTTGTATGCCTAATGCAGACTAAGGAGACTGCAATAAAAAGAATTATATAGTGGACCAGGCTAGGCCCCAAACTTCCGGGTCCGAATCGTTCTTACTGCATTTCAATAAAACCACGGTAGCCGCGTCCTTGTATAGATTTTGGAAATGAAATGCAGATATGCGGCACTTTTATTACCGGTACGTATGATCTGCTGATGATAAACATGTGTGCATGGGAAACCGCGGAAATGTGCACGTGCATATCATATGCGTCCGTCGTATCGATGTATACATATCATTCAGTTTTATACATTATATTTATATTGTTGTTATTATGTTAACATGTTAACATGTTATGTTTATTATGTATTAATAAAAGTAAGAGTAGTAACTTAAATCAGGTAAGAGTGCGTTATTAATTTTTATGTCAAAGCAAACTTGTATGAATAAAATCGAATAATTTTTAGTAATAATAAACATTTTAATATATTAATGTATACACAATTTTTTTATAATTTATTTAAAAAAACGTCGAGTAATGTACGTGTTGCAATATACTGCATATTATTCTATTTTTTTAATTAACAATTTTGTCGTTTATAACAGTAACTTAACAAAATGAATTGAAAAATGTTGAATAAAAAAAATAAAATAAACAGTGTACCTGAACCAGCGTTGCCAGACGTCCCGATTTTGGCGGGACGTCCTGCTTTTTAACCCAAAATTAAATGTCGGACACGCTCAGTCCCGCTTTTCCTGCACTTGTTTTGTTTTTTCTTTAGGCATCAATTATTTCCTCCAGGTCTGTTATTAAATAGATATTTTCTGATTACACCCCTTTTTTTTAGGCATCGATTTTTTTGAAGACAATTTCTTTCCCAGAAATCCTGACTTTTTTTGGCATCAATTATACAAACCCGTAGTATGTACCGTTTTTGGACGAAAGAATCCCGCTTTTTTATTCAGTTTCAAAATCCCGCTTTGCCCGAAAAAAATCTGGCAACGCTGACCTGAACCTTACTATTTACTGATTCCTTACTTTTTGAAAAATAGATTATATAAATTTATTATAAATGGACGGTTTCAATCATTCAATGTGCCAACTTAAATTTCTAGTCAAACTGAGATAGCACGTTTTTACTTAAAGATCTGAGCTAGCATGTTTTCCAAACTTAATTTAAGATAGCATGTTTTCCAATCGAAATTTGAGATAGCATGTTTTCGTACTAAAGCGTCGATTTAGCGTGACTTACGAACACAATGTTTTTCGGCCGTCTGTTATCTAGTCTACAATTCCCATGTCGACAAGATGGAACCTAAGGGCACCTTGAAGCAAAGTGAATTTAGCCGTCTCTAGATTCTTGTTACTTACTATGTTCATGCTATCGGGCCATCCTGTCTGTGTCGTTAGTCTTCTCGATCGAACTAAATGACGTCACGAACTAGTGTGACAGCCACTACCCGCTTAAAATATTTACGAGGTTTGATTAAAAAGTAATGGGAATTTTCAAATTGCGCGTGTTGTATCTTATCTATCGAGTTGATTTTTTTTTGTATTTGTAGCACTGTCAGTGATGTGCCCGTTAATTTTTAGGCAGCTGCCACGATTAATTTGTTAAGCGCGCGAATGAGGAAGACGTGTTTCTGGCGACGATACTATGTCCATGAGTTTATCAATGTTACAAATGTTTTCAGGAAAGCCAAGAAGACATTAAAGTTTCCTAATGGAATAGTTAATCAGGAATTATTTACTGCCTGGTTGTACAGTTAACAAGTTGTACAAGTTTTGCGCAATTTGCGTAAGGCAATCAGGAGAAAATGATGCATACCACTTTGATTGACATGACCTATGTGATTTTTTCTCATTTCCCAAACTCAAAAGGATACTCAAAGAGCATTTTTCAATAATACATTAGACAAAGGCAAAATCACAAACCGTGCTGAAGATGATACCTAACGAGGCGTTCCACCAGCGTTTCTAAAACTGGAAGCTACGTTGGCATAAGTGTATACCATAGGGGGACTACTTTGAAGGGGATGGGATAAAAATTGAATATTAAATAAATACTTTCTGAGAAAATTAACAATTCCCTTTACTTTTTGATCAAACCTCGTGTTTTGCTTGCCAAACTTTAATAATAATTAGTAACTAACAACCTCTAACAAACTACAGTAGAATCTCTATAATCCGGCCCTTCATTACACCGGCACATCCAGTAATCCGGCATCATTTTTTCGGGGTTTTCTACTATCCTTCAAGAATACAGTTTGTACAGTTATAGTTTAGTTGTAACATAAAAACATTACAATATACATATATATGCATATGCAACTGTAATATGTAAGTATCTATGTACCAATCTCTTTGTTAATAAACAATTAAAAGTAACGTTTTTTAATTTAATACTGTTTACATATATATTTTCCATTAATCCGAACTTTCCAGTACTCCGGCACTCTTAGGTTTTTAATGGTGCCGGATTAGTGAGATTATACTGTAATATTTTCACTTCATGATTACGTAAGGTTGTAGATTATTTCTGTACATTTAAAAAAATATGTTGCCCAATCACCAAAAATTTCAATGGGAGTTTTTTAATTATTCACCTACAGTTCAGACTTCGCACTCTTGTTGCATCTTAAAAATCATTTGGAAACACAAGAGTCCAGGGACCAGTGCAAGTTTGGTTGCAATCAGAAAGGTTGGTTCACAATATCATAAGTAGAAGGAAATGATTACTAGTCAGAAAAGTAACGTATCTATATATATAAAGTTGAAATTTTCTTGAACCTTTTGTTTAATATTAAAATATATTTATTTTCTTGGGAATTGGATTCTGGTGTGATAGTCAGTTAAAAAAAAGGATAAAAAACAGCAGCGATTTCTTTCTTGACGTTTCGTTCCTGATCAGGAACTTTTTCAAAAGGCTTTTATTATTAAAATTGTTATAATTAATAAAACTAAAACCTAAACAACAACCATTTTACGTAAAAATTTTAAAAAATATGCATCAATCGTCATACATTTTTTTTAACTGACCATCACACCAGAACCCATTTTCCAAGAAAATAAATAAATATATATATGTATGTATTTGGAATCACCAATATTTTTTTAATTTGCTCACTTGTCCTGCTTTTATAATCCATCGTCCCTTAAGTTTGTAATATATACATTTTTATTACAAATAAAAGCCTTTTCATTTTTATTTTTTATATAAAGCTTTTATTTGAAAATCATTTAAATCGTAGAGAATAAATCTAAATTATGTCTAATAATAAAATCATATTCAATCAATTAAATAATTAATTAATATTGTGAAAATATATTTATAATGTAATTAAGCTTATTTAATAACCAAAGCTTGTAAGAAAATTAAATATTTCATTGCAATTATAGTTACAAATTTTTTATAGAATTAAAGAAACAAGATTTAAAAAATTCTTTATAGTACTGCTTAGAGCCTAGATTGTATATTAAAGGCAATATGAAAAAGTATTAAAAATGATGAGCATCAGTTTTAGTTAATTCCAGTAAAGCATCATATAGTGGTTGAGGTTTTATAAATCGATCAGTCCAGGACTGCAAAAGTCCTTCCAAACTAGCTTCATAACACTTTAATTTAACTGTAGAATCTTCTCCAAGAACCAAATTAGGTTGTACAAACATTTTTCTAGGTTGTTTATTCGCTAATACTATTGATCTCCAGCTTAACCAAGGCTCCGACACTTCAGCATAATGATGATAAAGTTTTTTCGCTTCTGCCACATTTCCTGTAGCTTTATAAACCTGAAGTTGCAACAGAAAGTGACCGATGGCTGCTCTACCAGCTCCTTTGATTGCAGAACGATCCAGAGTAACCAAGAGGTCACCTTCACTTGGTTGGGTTACCTGAGCTATTCCTGCCTGTATTAAAACCCTAGCTAATACAAATCGAGCCTGTAAAATAAATAAGTTAATCAAGACGTGTATTGCACATTTTAAAAACTTTAAATATTTAGTCTTTATGTTTTTCCCAATTATTGTGTAATTTCCAATTATTAATTTATTTATTCAGGATCCAAAGGGTGTTTTCAAATCCACTCAAAAAATGAAAATACAGATTTTTAGTAAGATTTAAGGCTGTTTGGATCTAAATCATGCTATTTCTAGTCTGTCTTTTAGTCATTGTCCTATTTCAGTGTCTCCCCCTGTGGTAGCACATTACTTTTGACAAGTTGCCTCGGTCGTTTTGATAATTTCTTAGAAATTATAACAACCAAATATATATTGAGGTGTATGTCTGCGTTTACATATTATCTTTAAATTTATAAATTAAAAACCTTAAAATAATGTAACGGCCCATTTTGAAAGTAAAATAGACAATTATTACTAATGTCTTAGCGCCAGATTCTAAAATATTATAATACACGAAAAATTTTTATAGGACTGATTTATGTGAACTAAACCAATCAATAGCATTAAATCAGTGATTTTGTCACAAAAATAGTAGTAGCAAATAGACTGTGCCATTATACAAAAGCCAGTCTGTAGATATATGCTTATATGTTTCCTACTCCAATTTACCATTAATAAATTTTTTATAAACATTTTTATTCAAAAAATTATTCATTTTTTTTTTTAGTTTTTTGCTAATAAAACCTAAAATAAGGAAGCAATCTGAATGCTATATGAGACAATTTGTAGAGAATCGAAATGTGAATAAAACGAGAGGTCGATCGATCCTATTGAATAATTAGAAACAAAGAAAACTCGGAAAATTTAGCGCTTTTTAAAAATTCATACCCCGCCATTTTATAATTTGTACAGCTGACCCATAAAAGTAATGAATTATATGTAATTTAAGTGTCACAAAACAGGCGCTGTCGGATCATTAGTTTTGGCACAATAGCAATTTGAATTTTTTTGTTTTTGTATATTCTAATTTTCCGATAAAATGATGTGAAATAGGTGAAAAATTCCTCCAAAGATGCTCGAAAACGGCCTAGCGCGCGAACGCGGTCCAGTAGTAGGGGAAGATTAAGAGATGAGGGGCAGTGGATATATAGGTATATAATATTGAATATTGTTAATTAATGGTAAATTGGAGTAGGAAACACATAAGCATACAGACTGTCTTTTATATGATGGCACAGTCCGTTTGCTACTAGTATTTTTGCCACAAACAAAACCTCTATTGATTGACCTACTAGGAATAATATAAATGTTGTTATTTGAAAGTTTTAAGATTGACAGTCTTTCCGAAGTCAGTTGAATATGTATAAAAACGTCTAGTAATAAAATTTAATGAGTTTCATAGGTGTCCCTAAAAAAGTTTTCTGCTAAAGGTAAAAATTATAATAATTTGTATATGTGTAGAAAATGTCTATTATATGTTCATTTGACCAACAGCATATTTTAATTATTAATGTCCTCAAAGAATTTTATTATATTGATGTAAATTTCGTTTTGTTCTGTTTCAAAAGGTCTCCAAAATGCCATATTGTAATAATATTAATAAACAAAATATCCCTCTTACTGAGATATGATTCTGAAATTTAACAAAATATACAAGGTGTAACTGAAATAAGTATTCAAAATTTCTGAGCTTGTAAAACAAGTCGAAAAATGACGAAAACTTTAGTACAATTTTTGTCAGTGGCGGCTCCTAAGGGAGCTAC